AAAAAGTAGCACATGAAGGTATATTTTTTATTACATATTTGATTTAATCAGGTAAAAAATAGCCTATTTGCAAATTTTCATCTTATTTTCATTATGGGTTCAAAACTGTATCGTATGCCCTTAAGTCGAGGAAAGTATCTATAATATGTTCTGCAATTCAAAAGCGAATAAGGTAACATTTCTGTGCTCTTCCGATACATATCATATGTTGCTGAATTTGCCATTCACTTGACGTTTTATGTATTGCTCTTCCTACCAAAAATTATCATTATATTATAACAAGTAAATGATCATATTGACACAGTTACACTTTATGGAAAAGAACCTGTTGATAAACTGGTCATACGTCAAAGAAAGAATAGAAAAAACAACGAGACGGACAATGAAAGAAAACCAATAGGAGGATAGGCAATAAGCCAAATGACAGATCAAGAGCGGAAAGGAATTTGAAGACTGAAAAGTAATCATAGCACACATCATGTTTGATGAATACTATGGTAGTGGCTTTATGAGTTTATGGATATAAATAATGATAACTGTTTACTTAACTGAATGAAAAAATTAACATAACGAAAGTTCAACATATAGGTGAATTTGATAATGTGCAGTGAAGATCAACTAGACAAATAAGAAAACGTATTTCTACATTTATTTGTTTTGTACATAAATTACCTCATGTCTTGATATAGTATAAATAATCTGAAAACCCATTAGAATATTATTATAGAAAGCTCTAATGACAAATTGGTTGGTAAATTTTACATAAACGCATGATTTGTTATTTAATCAAAGTGTAGTTTGACACATTAAAACTTTGAATATGAAATAACATATTAATCTTCGTCTTTATGATTAAGCACGCAAGTTTTACGATTATCACCATGAACTGGTTGACCGATACAATGTGTCTATTTGTCAACCACCGAGATACAGGTTTTCGCAGTCTTATTTCTGAAGATATCAGAATACACAAGGAAATTTTACTCAGACACGTGAATTGCACGTGAATATAGATTCATGTAAATCTCATGTGAAATTCACGTGAATTTCACCTCAAACGAGCCTATCTGTGAAACTCGCGTGAACTGATTTTACATGAAGTTGACGTGAATCTAATGTAAAAACTCACGTGAATTTTCAAACTAAAGTTATTCAAATAACATCTAAATTTTAAAATTTTATTAAAAACATATTTTTTTTTTGTAAAGATCATATGAAATTCTTGTGAAAAATTTCGCATGAGATTCATGTAAAAATTTTCACGTTCTTTTCACGTAATAGCTCGTTTGAGGTGAATTTAACGTGAATTTTAACGTGCATTTCACGTGGCTGAGCCAAACATGACTGCGGAGTCGTCTTACCAGTTCATTTACGAATGAAAGTAATATGATACTTCCATGATTTCCCGAATGTGTCCTATTCCATTTCGAGCTATTTCAAAGGAGTGTAGATTTGCATACCGGATGAGTCATGCATAGAAAAGACGTTTACACTGCCGACACAACCGGTTATGAAAACCATATGAACAATATGTTTGTTTGGTGTTTTCTCTTCTTTTAACTTTTTATCGACAACATATGATATGCAGCTGATAAAAGTAAAACGATTATACCTATTTCGTTATTGAACGTACGTTGGTTCTACATTAGCTAAACTGTTCATAAATTGGTATTACAGTTTTCAAAGTCTCGTTCTGATTGGATGCTGTGATTGGCTACTACCGTGCATGTATGAGTCAACGGTTTGACAATGTGCCTGTGAAAGGATGGCTTTAATTACGCCTTTGGTACATTTATAAGAGCTTTTCACTGTGGATACTTTCTAGGTTGACGATATATATGCTCCCTTTCAAGAGGAAAATATTGTATTTGGGAAGTTTTACATTCTATTTTAAGAGAGCAGTTTAGGTAGTGAACAATACTTTTCCGTAGTCGTTTCCACAAAAAAATGCACTCTTTATATATGTGCAACGAATTACTTCTGATTGATAGTGGGTTTTTTTAAGACTGGTCTTGATGACAGCTTCTAGCTTCTTTCTAATTTTATGATGCAAAATTACTTCACTTCAATTCCTTTCTAAGGATCTCAGTGGATGATTTTAGCGTAGAGTTTTATCTACGACGGCAAAGTTATAAGTACTGGTTAAGTTCTTTGTATTTCAACGCCTTAAAATTAAGTCTGTGCATTTAAATGGCGGATTTGGTAACTACTTAACTATAATAAGTAGTGACAGTTACCATCACATACGATTTAAACGTTATCACGCGAATGTATTTGACATACCAATTGACTTCTTATTTGAAAACATTTGGGACAATTCTATTTGTTGTTATTTGACAAAAATAGTCAATTACCTTTCAATGGTAAATACTTCAAAATAAATGAATATAAATATACGCTATATGAGTATTCAAGTGTTTGAGAACACCCAAATATTTACAATAAACATAATTTTAAGAACAATTTATTATTTTTGAAGGTTGGTATAAAAGAAACACTGCATAAAAACATTCAACTTTAAAAGTGCGAATGACTTAATTTATATGAATTTCTATTTCTGATTCATCACATAACATTATTTTCCTTTTTCCCCCTAAGAACGGCTTCGATAAATTATATGAGATAATAAATAATAGCAATAAAACATAATTGAATACATGTATCAGATAACCCGAGAAACAAAAGTTAAGTTAGCGCCCAGTTATTAATAAAAAACTTTGTAAGTCAAAGAACCCTTATTTGTTTACAGGTTGGTCCAACTTTGTGTGTAACTTCTCATTATATAATTATGTACATAAAATAAAAGAGACCGCAGATACCAACGGGACATTCAAAACTCATAAGTAAAAAAACTGACAACGCCACGCAAAACAGTAAAAAACAACGACAAGAAATTCAACAGCCTACAAAACACTGCATAGAAAACCCATTGGCAAATAATGAACAAGTTGAACTTCATCAAAACCCTAGGTTGATTTCAAATACTCCGGAAGGGTAAGCAGATCCTACTGCACATATTGCACCATATATTTAAGCAAAACATAGAATGTGGACAAGTAACTGATGAGGGAAGGTTTGGCAGAATGGCGGAAAGTTGGGTTACCATACGGCATCCGCAGCTGCAATCGAGTCATTAATGTGAGCTTGACATGTACTATAACTTCAGTTGTCAACTCATGAATATACAGTCGTGTTTGTATAATTTGAAGTACTATTTGATACTCTGTTAAGTTCTGTAACCTTCAATATTTACAATACAGAAGAAACTAAATACGTCTTCAATTAGAAAATGTAAATGCAATTTGTGTTATAATTATATGTGGTTGTGCAAACTCATTTGTCTCAAGTCACGGGAAAATAAATACTGACACTAAGTATTTACATTAAGTGATACTTATCTTTTATTGAACCGTTGAGAAGTTTGAAATTTAAACATTTCTTTAAACCTAAGCTTATTTACATTTGACAATAGGACATTTTGATTGCCATTATTCTACTCGTCTGTCATGATTTATTATTTGGCATTTCGAGGAATGTTATCTACAAATTCTTTATGTAAGCAAGTTACTAAAGGACCGATTCTGATGCATTATCAAAATATGCAAAAGTGTTGTTTTAGATTAATCATTCCCTGAAATTTATTTGAGACATATCTAAAGAGTACATTTTGACATGGAAACCACAACAGAAAAGTATTATTCACTACCTAAACTGCTCTCTTAACATAAAAAGTAAAACTTCCTGATTATAATATTTTCTTCTTGAAAGGGATTATATATATCGTCAAGCTAGATCGTATCCGCAGTGAAAAGGTCTTAACAATGCACTAACTAGGGCGTTACATAACTGTTTTCAGGGCTCTTATATTTTGAGCTATCAGTCATTTTACAATTTCTTGAAATTTCGAGCATTCGAGTTAGTAAATGTACACAAGAAAAAAAAAACAAAAACAAAAAAACGCAAAACTCTAACCAATATAAGATACTTATAAGAACTTTAGAAGTACAGTGCATCATAAGCCTATGAGCTGACATTATAAAATATGTTTCATATTTGTATTAATATGTTATATAAGGTTGCACTTTAATAAAACAATATATATATAACAAGTGAAACTGCGAGCTACTGCTCACTGATGATACCCCCAGCCCAAATATTTGACGGTAAACAGGAAGTTGTTGAGTGATTAATCTGAAAAATTATCACACGGTATAGCTGACTTATATAAACCCTAAAACCAAATTTCAGAAATCCTTGTCAAGTAGTTCCTGAGAAAAATGTGACGAAAATTTTCAACTTGGCTATCATGTGTAAAATAATACAAGTGTTCGGTGAACAGGAAGTTGTTGAGTGATGAATCTGAAAACGCATCACACGGTGTAACTTACTTATATAAACCCTGAAACCAAATTTCAGAAATCCTTGTCAAGTAGTTCCTGCGAAAAATGCGACGAAAATATTCATGGGACTGACGGACTGACGGACTGACGGAAGGACAGACAGAGGTAAAACAGTATACCCCCCTTTTTTAAAGCGGGGGTATAATAAAACAATATATATATATATATAGGACCGATATAAATGACAAAGTAGGGGCTTTTACATTAACGAAAAACATATTCTGCAAAGAAATCTTGCACAATTTCTGTAATTTTCCTTTCTCAAATTTGTCAAAAATGTTGCTTGTGAGAAATGCATTCATTAACAAATGACATATTTGAAAAGAAATAAATGTTTATCATTAAAATCATGGCATTGCTTTTTTTCAAATCATGGAAGCATTATTACTAGACAATACTATTATACTTCGATGGTAAAACGAAATTTGACAAGATTAATACATGCCTCTGAACAGTCTTATATATTTTTTATACACGTTTAAACTTTTTTTGTTGGAAAAATATATAAAATAAGCATATTAAAATACATAATTGACTCTACGGATAGATGTTAATTGACTGTACGTGTACACGTTAATTGTGAAACAACAATTTACTTACATGAATCTTTTGTTTCTAAATCTTTTCTTAAAAAACGACTTCCTCAATGAATGGCTGAATTTATATTAGTTAGATACTAGTACCCCTGTTGTTGAAACATATTTGAATAATATATCTACAATCAATAACGGTCAGTATATGTATCTGTAGATTTTATTGATTACCATTTAAAGGTAAAAAAGAACAAAAGTGTATGTGATAGATCGAGATAACTATCAGTTGTGATTTATCTAAAAGAAAATAAAGATCAGTTCCCCGTTAAACAAAGATTTCTAAAATGTTATCCTAATTAAGATATGCTTTATGACAGTTGACTTTGAATTGTTTAACATTTTGTTTATTTACTAAACGGTATGGTCTTTGTTCATTGTTGAAGGCCGTGTTGTGACCTGTAGTTGAACATCTTGCTTTTTTTTATTTTGTGAATAATTCTCTTAGCGGCTATCATTGTGTACTAATTTTTACAAGACAATTATTAACCAAACAGCAAAAAATGTACAAAACACAAATGTATATTGAAAAAATAAATGTCAGCTGCTATATAGATTTCTGATCGACCACTAGATGGACTTTGCAGATTGATTTTGTGTGGTTTACGTTTACAACATAGGGTTTAGTTAGGCGTTGTTGGAGGCTCGCTTAAAACTGGTTTTAAGTTCACCACACTTATACTTTTTTGTATAAGTTGTGCCATTTGGGTGTTGGTCGTTGTTGTTTATTATTGTTCAACTATTGTTTTGTGGTAGTTGTGTTTTGTTGAACTGTCCAATATTAAATAATTCCTGTATCCTTACTATGTACTAAAGAGGGAAATTAACTCAGTGATATATATATACTAGCTCTTGGATCTCAACATTCTTCAGATTGATTCTCAATGATGTAAAATCGGCGGAAAAAGAGAAGCGAAAGATACCAATACTAACACCCTGACGCACCATACATTAATGCTGGCAATGACAGAAAATAAATTATAAGTGACGTTATATTTTTAATTGAAGGTATGACCATCGTTTGTAATATTTTCAGCTGAGACAAAGTGCCAAGATGAACATAAAAATATGAAATGGTCTTGTTACATTTGCTGAGCAATATGAGCATGGCAAATCTGAAATAAAAAAAAAAGATTATTCCTGATAGATGTATATGTTAAAGGCATTTTCCAAATTTAAGCATTTTGTAAAATGCCTGAAAACTTTATGCAATTTCTATATTGACCACTTTTTTTTCAGACATCTTACAAAATGCCTGAAAAAAATTGAAAGGCAACTTACAAATTGCCTGAAATTATTTCGTAGAATAAAATATTTACAAAACTGAGCAACAGAAAGTTTCGAACAACAGAGCAGATTTATCTTTGATAATAACTGAATTTTAATGATTAACAATAAATTTTACTCAATTATTTGAAATTCCCACAAGAACCGAACTGGACTGTTATTTCATATAATGTTTGAATGGCAGGATCTGTTACACATTTGTCCTGATTTGTTTTTTGTCTTAGCACACTACAACCACATGTGGTGAAACCCGGACCATCACACATTCAGTTCTGTTAATAAGTTGTTTTCTGATAAAAAAACTTAAAACGTTCGACGAACATAGGGTTTTGCAAAAAGCACATACATGGATATCTTCTTTTTTATGTGTTTCCAACATATTCAAAGTCACATTAATATGATTAGGTTGACAGACATCATTTTGCTTATCAGAGCATTTAACAGGATGAAGCAGATATATACGCATCCATAACAGAAGACGCTTACCCTGTCAATGCACCTTTATTTGTCTTTTCATGATCGATTTTTAAGGTTTTAACAATGGTTAATTACTGTCGCATTAATTCATCAGATTGTAAAAATCCCAGAAATCCCTTGAGGCAGTGAAAATGAAGATACTCATATTTTTGCATCACAACCAAACACGGTCTTGTATTGCAAAGCCCAAGCTATATATATAGGCGGGAATCCTTTTGGCTTTGCGGGATGTATAAATTTGTGGCATTTTTTTTCTGTTCATATCCAACAATCCTTCAAGTGGCAGTCAAAACAAGTGAAACTGCGAGCTACTGCTCACTGATGATACCCCCGCCCAAATACTTGACAGTAAACAGGAAGTTGTTGAGTGATAAATCTGAAAACGCATCACACGGTATAGCTATCTTAAATAAACCCTGAAACCAATTTTCAAAAATCCTTGTAATGTAGTTCCTGAGAAAGATGCGACGAAAAATATTCATGGGACGGACGGACGGACTGATGGATGGACTGACGGATGAACGGATGGATGGACCAACAGAGGTAAAACAGTATACCCCCACTTTTTTAAAGCGGGGTATAATAATTATATATTGTCCTTTATCCGCGTCAATCCATTGCAGAACTTATCTCTTTGATTTATTATCAATTTGTTCTCGTCTTAGATATGCATAAAATATTTGCTACTGAATGCAAACAAACAATAATCAGTCAACATAAACTAATGATTCTTTTTCTCTGATTCATATAACATATTTCTGTTTTAAATCTAGATTTTCTCAAAAATGTTTGTAATCTTTGTTCTATTGTAAGAGCAATTTGTCCTTCTGCCATCTTGACAAGAAAATCATAAAATTACTGACTGAAATACAGAGTGAGTAAATACTGAACTAGTTTCACTGAAAAGATTACAAACTTTCCCAGCTGGGTTTTGAAGAATAATCTCATTCTTAGTTTTTTTTTCTTTGCAAGATAAATGTGTTTTTAGTCATATGCATCTCAATGATGATTATCCTTTTTTTTTAACAACCTACCTGAAACTGTACCGGCAATTTGTTGAATTTTGTTTCAAAATTTCAGTCATTTTACAAAATGACTAGGTATTTTTAGTCAATTTATATGATGCCTGTCAATGTTAGGCATTTTATAAATTTGCCTGAAAATTCAGTCATTTTACAAAATGCCTAAATTTAGAAAATGCCTGTAACATATACATACTATTTTCTTAATAGTTGTAAATTAATACTTAATATTTAAAATTAACTTGCTCAAGTGTAGTCATGATCGTATATACTTGTTCTTTTCTGTCATGGTTACTTAAAAAAAACTAAAAAACGTATTCGTCGTGTCTCTTATTTCTTTCCTTTTTTGTATAATGGAGCGAAATCGTTTCTGAATAAAAATATTGTTTTTGTCTACGCATTACTGAAAGTTGTTTTAAAGTCTTAGGAATTTATACCGAACTATGAACGTATTTTGAAACTCAGCACGTATTAGACTGTTCTTAAATTGGTACTTTTGCTTGTATCTGCTTGATGATGCAAGAATAAATAACTGCAATCTTTTACTCCACACCCTTAATGGATTTATTTATTCTTATACTTTTGTTTAGATTACACGTGTAATAACTGTCAATACTTATACTTTCACAATTAATCGTTTGCAAACGTTTTGTTTTGATACAATGTATACAAATTTGCTTTCAATAATAAATTAATGTAACATGCACAATGTTCACATCTAAATTATATTTTGTGCAGACAATCTCGATAAGAAATTAAGCATACAACCGTTCTTGTATAAATGAAGGCGGTATATATGATTTTTTCCCGGATTTATTTTATTTATATTACTCTATGGGTTGGTTCTTCAATTCATTATTGTTGGGTGATAATCAGTTTGCAAAGAATTCCGCTCATATCTGTGCTAGAAAATGTCTTAAACTTTCAGATGACGAACAGCAATAAAAGCACTGTACCTTTGCTTTATGTGTTTCTTGCTGTTTATGTACTTATTTATGTCATTAATGGATACCATGTATTCTATCATGAACGGTTTACTTTGTTTCAATACCATTAAAGATACAAGAAGGTTGATGAAATAGATTTTTTTTTTTAAATTGGATTTTTCACAATGTACAAATATTCAAGAAATCAAAATTGCATTCAATCGTACACATTGCTGTTAAGACATACATGTTGATAAAAGATTCAAATGTATACGTTTACTTTGAAGAATATCTAGAAGTATAACGAATCAATATCTGAAACAATACAAACAGAACTTTTGTTTTGGATCAATCTTTGTCATTAGGTTTCTGTGTCTGTTTATGTACCCTTTTGCTCACATTTCCATTTGTTTATTTTATATACAGATACAGTCTTGTACTGAAAGAACGGTAATTGAAAACTTTGAAACATGATTAAAAAATGAAGCAAATATATCTTTTTGATTTATTTACGGTGCTGTATAAGCCATACAATGGAATCTTTTCATTTGTAAGATTAGAAATGAATTTCTTATTTGGAAACGAAATTGGCTATTTCTGATTAAAACCGGTCTCTTCGTTAGCTTTAAAGCGCCTGTGTGTGACGGTTAAGGTACTAGTATTGGATTATAAACGAAAAATGATAGAATTTTGTATTACCTACAAAAAATGTAATATATATTGTGATATTTTGAAAGATATAGTAAAAATTGTATTTCACCGAACTTGTTTTCAAGCTGAGTGTTGTGAAAAAATTACACATATTGTATGGATTATACAGAGACAAGGCACCATTGAGTGAATATAGAAGGTAAACTAAATGATTGAATTTTGAAATGAGATATGAGAAGATAGTTCTTTCAGAATATCAAAGGAAAAAATAGGATCAGCGTACATTTGTTCCTTCTATAACATAAATTTAAAAAGAAATACTACCGTAATGCTCCATTTCTACCGTTTGATTGACTTCTTTTGAGAAAAAATATTCAACACAATCCCAACTAAAATCGTATTAAAAAAAAATGGATTACATGGCTTTATACGGATTATAAAAAGTATTTTCATGACGCTTGTGTTCTATATCATTTTTGAAATGTTCCTGAGACTAGCCTTTTTTGTGGAAAAAAGAAAGCGGGGTTAAAATCTGATAGGATGTCACTTAAAATACTCATACAGGGAAAAAAATGCGTTTACAAGCAATAACAAATATTTAACTTACAGTTTTTGTTAACCTTTTCGACCCTTGTTATCTATCCTTCTTTTGTTAGAATTTATTTAAAATCAGTTTTATGTATTCATAATTAAAAAAAAAGTAAGTTTGTTTGAATATCACAGCACACACGTGAAGTTGAAAAAACTGTAAATGTAAGCAATTCATGAAAGAAAATTGTTCAATACGCCATTTTACTTACTTGTCTGTTGGTAAGATAACATAAATCCACGTTTTGTTTGCTGGTCATCGCTATGGAAGTCAACTGTTACTGACGTTCCATTTGAGACATATATTATCTCCGACCAAGACTTCTCCTTACATAACTTTAGACTGTATCCCTCTAACAAGGAAGAAAACAATGCGTCAAATATCAAGAAAATGGCCTTAACTTTTAAAATGATGGTATAAATACAAATGACTCGAGAAATACGAATATGGATATATAAATATATTATACAGCTGGTATCAAGTAAGACTAATAAACTCTTAACATGCGATTCCTTTTAAATAGACAGTATACCAACGCCCGTCTGTCCGTCCGGCAACACTTCGTACGATAACTAAAATTGTCTATAACCAAGTCTCGTGTTATTTGAACACAGCGTTATGATTGACGAAAGATTTCAAAATTTTGTGGCTTAGTCGCTTTAGATTTACGTTACTTTAACCATAGGAGGCGATTTTTCACATATCGCGCACTAACTCCTCAACTTCGCCAACACTTTACCTTATTGTTATGACTGATAAAATGAATTTCCTTTTCGAATTTGTTTTTATTTCATGGTTTGTCGTTCCAGAGTTAACTTTAAGAGCGACTTTAATTGTCAGATATAAGTAAATACCATAACTTGATTTTGCTTGGATTGATTTACTGCACCTTTTACATAATTGTTGGAATTGGTGAACGTAACACACCGTATGTTTAGAAAAAAATTTCCAGTCCATGAGTCATACTTGACATGATTTTTTTACGCCCAAGGGTATCCTCACGCATGTTTTTTTTTCACAGAGTCACTTTAATTCATCCTAATTAAATATTTCCTTACATATTCAATTTTATTTTTGATACAATTTTAATATGCACAATAAGGGCGTATCATGCGCTCTAGGTGCAGCTGTTTAATTTCTTATCATTCATCATTACTTCTTATTACAGTAAAAACATTTTAATGCAGGTCTTTCTCAAATTTAAAACTTACATCACATAAAATTTCCTTAACCAAATCCTAATATCAACATATAAATCCCAAGGGAAAACAAGAAAACAAAGAGCAAAAAACTATAAGCAACGCCTCACATTTTGTACCGGCAATTTAGAGTTAGTAAACTCGTTTACGGATGTACTAAATGGTAGAACGAATTATAATCGCTGGAATATAAGAAAAAGGGGTTGCTCACTCAATTTTGTCAATATAACGAAACTATAAATAACTGTCAATGTCATGTAAGTGGGAGGTTTAGCTAGCTATAAAACCAGGTTTAACCTACCAGTTTCTTCGAGAAATGCTTGTATAAAGTCAGAAATATGGCAGTTGATTTCTCTTCGTTTCGTTGGTTTATATAGTCGTGCGTTTGATTTTGTTAGTTTTTGTTGACTCGCCCTTTATGAATTTACCTTGGAGTATGTTTTGTTCATACTCTTTTATGCAAAAAGCACATGTCACTTATGAAAAACACTGACCACAGTCAAATGGACCGTAAAACATGCAAAGTTAACAACAGAGACCTCCAAAGCAAATGAAAAGTAACTAACACATTTCTGATAGAACAGACATTTACAAACGGAAATGGTTCTGTTAAATGTGCCAAATATATCACCTTGATTATAAGTCTATTTGTCGATAAAACTCTTATCATTCTAAAACACATTAGGTAGAACAGATGATGATGATGATGAGGAGGAGGAGGAGGATCACGTAAAAAAGTGAAAAAATAAGCTAACCATCAGTAACTTTAAGATAATCATACGAACAAGTTCCATCTTCTTCAATGTCCATGAACATAAGGTTCAACTTAACTCTTCCTAATGTATTCTGTATTATCCATTGGCAGTTTTTATCGCTGAATTATACGAAAAATTGGTAAATTATGAATTAACAGTAATATGTAATCCAAGTATAAGAAGTGATAATCAGCGTTTAATTATAATTTGATAATAATTGATTTAGAAGATTGTTATTGTTTTAATGTAAAAGTATTCGTAATGCCTATAATATATATTTTATGGATCGAATTCCGTTAATACTATTGATAAAATAAAAGTACCTTTTAAAACCAGAATAACAGAGGAAGCGTTTGGTAACAACAATCGATAAAGCTAAGCATTGACCACTCAAAGCCGGTAAACACTGAGGATAGGTTTTTAGATAATCCCGTAATAATAATGCACGCCTACATATGGAATGACCAGCAATTATGAAACTTATATCAACCCGAAACGTTAACGCTAGGTAGTGGTGATGTCAGATCTCGGCAATCTACATCTTGCTGAATTTTGTATGGTGACATCAGTGTGTTCATATGAAAAACCTTTAAATCACAGGTTCGATTTCACTAAATAAAAAACAAATATTTGATAAAGTGGTATTAGACATCCAACATATTATGTTTATATTATCTGGCTAAGATTTTTCATTTTTTCTGGCATGATGGACTTATCGATAGAGGTTATAATTTACTTTTTCTGTTGTATTTGAAGGAATTAAACTCGGTGCACACACCTACTGGGGTTTTAAACACTTCCAAAATTTCATATATATGTCCAAGCCGATGTCCATAAAAAAGGTACGAAATCAAAATAGTGGTATGGTTGACTCTCAATCCTACTAAGAGAGAAAGTTGTGTTCACAAGGTGTTATTGTCAGGGTTTCCGCTGGCGGTCGATTTTGCGAAAAAATAAAAATTTTGGCGTTTAAATTCATTATTGGCGAGATAATTTATCCATGTCCAGTGTACAATGTAAAAACAATATTGTCGACATCGCGATATTTACAATGTTAACCCAATATCGTGTTAACATCGTTAACATAAGAACTCTTATATACTGTTTACATCGTTGACATCATTAACATCGCGATGTATACAATGTAGTAACGATATCGTGTTTACATCGCGATGTTGACGATGCAAACGATGTAAACACAAAGGTATTGACTCGGTATACAATATAAACAATGTTGACACACTATAATTGTCACCATTGCGATGTGAACGATGTAAACACAAAGGTATAGACTTGGTATACAATATAAACACGATGTCTACGATGTGAACGATGTAAACACAAAGGTATAGGCTTAGTATACAATATAAATACGATGTTGACTCGCAGTTGTAATCATCGGATTGTCTACGATGTGGACGATGTAAACACAAAGGTATAAACTTGTTATTCAATATAAACACGATGTTGACTCGCTATTGTCAACATCGCAATATCTACTATGTAAACAATGTAAACACAAGGTATAGATACGATACAATGTAAACACAATAATGACACGATACCGTCGACATTGCGATGTTGACAATATCGATAAAACATCGTGCACTGGACATTCTTCAAAGAATTTGGCGAAAGAAATATAACGGTTCGACTTCCTCCATCTTGTTTACTTTTTTCAGGTTTCTCGGACTTTTTCCCTGATCAGGCAATACTGATAAATCACCTTGAACTCGTTACGATTTTGATAGAAAATCAATAATCAGCTGATTTCACTTTCTAGCTATCGGCAACGATGGACTAGTTAATAAAGATGTTGATTGTATTGTTTAATGAAATGGTGTGGTTAAATGGCGTTTCAACTTATTTTGGTACTACAATAGACCAAACAAGGTGTTATTATGGTACTACAATATACCAAACAAGGTGTTATTATGGTCAGTACCATACCTCCAACAGGACTGATCAAACTAACATGGCAGTTATGTGTGATTAAGTGCACATTATAACAATCCATTACATCGCACAGGACAAGGTTCTGACATGGTATCCGAAAAGAACCTGCCACAAGGTGTCAGCATAGTGCAATATGTCGAGGATATTTAAAGTCCTTAAACACCAACATATATTAAATTGTCAACTCAAAAATGACGTCAAAGTATCATGGTCAAATACTGTAACAGATAACGACAAAAAGCATATCAGTATGAAAGCCTTCGGTATAATGATCTCAAAGAATGTGCGTCTACAATGTGTCTTTGTGATGCGAAAGTAAAAAATAATATGGTAAAAGTCACATTACTCCCGCAAGGATTGTCAAATCCAAATAACAGTGAAGTATGTTAATAGAAATACGATGATAAATAATCCTACCAAGTTTATAGCCTTTTGGGCAATCTGTCTCTAAGTATTAGAATAGTGTGTTACGGACGGATACACAGACGTGCGTAGGAAGCCAATTATGCATTCAATAGAATATAGAATCTACGATTGGCCATTAAAGGCAATTTAAAATCTACGAATGAATTAAGAAACCCAACTCTGATCCTCGTTTTAAGGCAAAAATAATTCTATTTAAAAGAAATCATAAATAAGTGAATCTATTGGTTTCTTCTGTTTCTATATATAAAGCTGTATCGGTCACAATAAAGCATAGCTTGGTTATCATTTTTTTTTAATACTCTCCTACCGATCATGTCAAGGAGGTTATACCAGCTTCTAATTTGAATTAGGAATAATTATTCATAAACAAAAGAAAGCAGAAGATATACACTGTCAATATATTCCTATTATAAGACCACGTTAATTATCATCAAGCACAATAACTCAGTAAATTTACCACCAATATTCTCGTCTCGATCATGGCGTACATAAAGATTGCAACTTACGTGGCATACTCTTCAGGAAAATTAGGAGAAGTAATATACTGTGGATTGGTGGATGCAGTGAGATTGACTGGTAAGCTACATCCTGATTCTGCTATAGACAGATACAATGAAAATTGAATTAATTCAAATTTGAGATAAGTTTACAGTTAATTGAAAAATGAAAAGAGTTTTATAAATTTAAAACGTCTAAATGTTAATAGTATCCTTCACGCTCAACTTTACAAGGTTTAATAAATAAAAGGATTTTGATTTTCATCACATTGTCCAGACAAATAGTAAATGAACTAACCAGAAAAACTATTCATGGACAGAAATAAATAATCGTTACGCAACAAAAGTGCGCGATGATTTCTTATTTTCGTAACATAAAATATCATGTATTATGCTTACAAAAATCATTTCCACTGATTATTTTTATATCAAATCCTTTTTCAGTAGGTTCAGATGTGCTGTCAGATACAAATTCAATGTATGTCGATTCCGCTGATGTTTTGCTAAATCCACTCTGTGCAGTATTTCCATTTGGTGAACAATGGTTCTCTATCAAGGTATTAGCGGAACTATTCTGACCTAAAATGATTAAAGTGATTGCATATGTGTATGCTTGAAGCGGAAGTATAAATTTAAGTAAATCTTATTGCTTCAGTTATTTGTTTATCTACTTCGCATCAATTAACGAAACTGATTTGAATACGAGAAACCATTTTAAGCTATTGAATAGTAATGTAGCAAGTTATTGTATTTTATAGAATTCCATCACTTTCTATAAGCAAATGCGGCTCAGTCTGTATACAGATTAATATAAGGAAGAAACAATAGTTCAGAGTCAAAGACATGTACATCATGCTTCATATAGAAGATTCGGGAAAAATCATGGGGAATACAGCAGTATCACACAATATATGTGCGTACTGTTTTTATGAAAAAAAACAAAAACTTTTCGATTATAACAGAAACAAATATTTCACCTTTTCCTTTTTTTTGTGTTTCTATTTTATGAAAATGTTTAAAAAAAAAATACCCTACACAATGTATAAACTTATAAAGATTTGTAAATAGTTACCATCATGAACGTTCACTGTGTCACTACTACATGAAAGTGTGTTCTCTGTGCTCATTATTAATAAAACATCACCTTGGACTTCAGTTCTAGCAACCCAGGAACATTTTAGGCCTCTGCAATAAGAAGTATACAGCAAGAATAACGTTGACGTCGTCAAATTGCTTAAACTATTTTCATAAATAGAAAATCTTAACTGATTTGTTTTAACCATAATTAATTAATTACTTTGATCAAGTTTTTAATTGTGTGAGAATGATGGATTGTTATTATTTTTGACTATTTTTGCTTTGTGTGGATTTGTGATTAAATTGACTTTTTACGATATCGATTTATAGTACTGGCCGGATATTTCATAGCTACAACACAGTTTGGAGAAAACACATATAATTGCTCGTGGTGTGTTTTTATGGGAATCCTTAAATCTTATCTTGCCAATTTCGGTTCTTTTGGATGGGCGAGTTTTAAAAGATGTAAACGCAATCACTGTAACTACTTTTGTTTAAATCGCAATTTTTTGGCTGTCCGGGATGCATAAACACACTGTCACGATCGTTTGGCTGTTCAAGATCTTTTAATACACAGTCACGTCTGTTTGAATCCAAGATTTAGCTCAGAATTATACTTATCGACGGTTTTGTACTTACATGAGCAATACGACTGGTACCACCTGTGGAGCAGGATATGCTTACCCTTCCGGAGTACCTAACCCCCCCCCCCCCCGGTTTTGATGTGGTTCGTGTAGCTCAATCTTTTGTTTTCTATGTTGTGTCTTTTGTTTTTCTATTTTTCCCATGGCGTTGTCGGTTTATTTTCGATTTATGAGTTTGAATGCATCTTTGGTATCTTTTGCCTCTCTTTTTTTAACGTTAAATGGACAGAAATGACTGACATACAAGTCAGAGGTTTGGCGTTTTATTTAAAACCATGGTTCTAATCACCATTTGCAATCTTTAGTTTGCAATGGTACCAAGTCAGGACCATAACAGTCAGACCCTAACTGTTACCTTGAATTTCTATTTCTATTTATCTTTTTATATTTATTGGAATGGAAAAGGTATATATTTGGATGTGGATGTAGAAGTTATATATTTAGAATATGTTAGAAATTCTAGTTTGAAGAGACGAAACCTATATGATATAGTACATGTATTTTATGAAACACGGTAACAATTTGTCCATAAAGGAAAACAAAAGATCAATAATCCTGAAATTGCAAGCCGGAAGGACATGGATATAGGCAAATTTTGAATAGATTGAATAAAGTGCACTACACCTTGTATATCTTCATTTTTGGGGAGATTTTCACTACATATTAATCTAAAAGTGCTAATAAATATTTATTTATTTCAAACGATATCCAACTTTTAAGTTTGTTCCAGAAAATGCAATGAAATCAATATCATGTAGCATGAGTGGGAGTGCCTGCAAATATTTTACAAAGGCGAAATGCTGACGTTCGGAAACATATTAAAGTTAATATTAATTAAAATAAAACATTAATTATTTATTTTATTTTTGTTTATTCATTACTTATTTAATTATTTTGTTTTATTGTATAAATATATTAAAACTATTTGGATACTTATAAAACATTTATCCGCTTGGTGTGATACTAAACACACAATTCAAAAGTTTCTCTACGTTTGTTTCGAATCCGTAGATGTAATTTTAGATGACTTACGCAGTTTTTGCTCGTGTTAAAAATCAATACACCATTGTGTTAAATGTAATTTACGATCGTTTCTGTTGAAATCATTCAAATATTAGCAAAGTTAGTACCAATTGAATCTTACCATAGCAAGTGGGTGCATTTCCATCGTGTAAGACCAATGGCGAGTTCTATTAATTTTTATTTATTCCTCCTTTGCTGCCCTAAAAGTTAGCTTTGATAGTTTCCGACGAAAGTGTGTCCATATATGCGAAGACAGTATAGTTCATTTGAATTTATCACTTGACATTCATTTAGTGTGGGAAAACATGGTTAATTTATTAGTTGGAATTTAACTTTCAGTAACATGTGGGTACTCTTCGATATGTGTTTTTTTTTTTTCTTTTATTCTTTTTGTGTGTTTAGCGCTGATCTGATAAGATTAGCCTTTTAATTTGATTCTTATAGTTTGTTCTTTGTGTGTTTTTTTTACACCTTTTCAAGTAAGACAGAGGACTAAGTGCTCACAAAAATGCTTAACTCTGACATATTCTCTTTGTACATTTCCCAAATCAAGAGCATGTAATTCAGGGTTTCCGTTTGTTGGTTTCTGCCTTATTGGTTTCTTGTTTATTGGTTTAAGCATTAAGCAGGTCGTTGCTTTTCATCGTTGTTTCACGTGTTGTCATGACGGAGATTTTAAAGCTTACTATATGGTATGGGTGTGGCTCATTCTCGAAGGCCGTACAGTGTGCTGTAGTTATTTATATCCTCACTCTATGGTGGTTTGTTGTCTAATTGGAAATAATACCTTATTTTTAGATACTATATATTCCATTTCCAACTCATAAAGCCTGTCAGGATAATTGGGGTTGTAAAAAAGACACTGTCTTGTAATACGTATGCATTGTATTTGTTTTTCGAGGGATTTATGCTAGACCAGATCTTAAACAATGTAATCCATTCTCGTTAAGTTATCTATCCATAGCACTAGATACTATTTTATAATACTCACCCAGCATAGCCGTTCGGATATCCAGGAGATGTGATGCTAGATACACTATATCCTACAATTATTTCAGCTGATATGCCACTGCATTGTGCTTTTACTGTAAAAGTATTTGCATATAAAAGAAATTAGAATGTTTACATTTCTAACAATGAGCATAGTCAATTTCAAAAGGTAGGTAGAGAAATAAGATTGAAGTTCAATCTTGTCTGTTCGTTCGTTAGCAATAAATATTGAAATTTTTCCCATTGGCTGTGCTTCAAATTTTTGAAAACATCATTTACACTGTTCGATAGAAAACTAAATAAAAATATATGCGTTTTTTTTTTTTAATATAAATACATTGTATATTGCCTAAATATCGTCATTTATATGCAGCATGGAAGATCAAAAGTATGAACCAATTTCGTTTGCTTTTATATTATAGCGAAATGTAAATTGTTTACACATCTTTATTCGCATACAGTATTTGGCATTACTTGTTCATTGCAAAGCGTTCAGATGACAGCTAAATTGTTTATTCTAATGCAGACATGAGACAAAAGACAAAGTTATACTTTTTTTCAAGCAACAAATAAAATCACGGGGAAAATCTCATATAATCGTCATTAAACAATAAGAAAGCAACAAAACATCTAAAACAGGAAATAATGGTATAATGAATTACATTCAAGGAGGATATAAAGCATTCGTAAAAGAAACAACAAAACACAAAAAACCACAGAAAAGCGAAAAAAAAAAGAAGGAAAAAGTACAAATTGCCAATACTTTATAAGTAAGATTATATAAAATATAGGGCCTTTATTTACCTTGATATTTGGTATGAGAAAGAAGCGCACAAACCAGTAGATATTTTACTGAGATCATCTTAAGTTCTCAGTACGATTACAGGACGGCAACCTTTAACTGTGACTATTTGATCATCTATTGAATTTATCTTCTAACGTCTGTTGTGACATGCGCTATAATTTCACTAGTATCGAATTCCTGCAATAAAGACTGAATTTTTGGATAATTTGATACATTGTAATAACTAGCTATAACATTCAGTATTACGTATAGGTTTGTTAACTTTATTTTTGGATTGAAGTGTGAGGACGCGTACTACTTATTTTTGGCAATCAAATAAACTCATCATAGATACAAAGTTGAAAATTGTGTACGCCAGACGCACGTTTCGTCTACAAAGGACTCTTCAGTGACGCTCGAATTAAAAAAATTAAAACAACCAAAAGTAAGAAGTTGAAGAGCATTGAAGATTCAAAATTCCCAAAGGTTTTACCAAATACAACTAAGGTAATCAAAGTACTGAAGTACTGAACATCGGATGACCGCAAGTTCTTGTGGATGGTCCGACAAGCACTTGTCTCAGAAAAAAAATCACATCTCTATACCTGAAAGTGAGGTTAATGTACAGATGGACAAGTTCGTGCGTGGATGATAAATTAATGACAGGGAATTCAACCTCACCGTAATGACTATTATATTGTAGTGATACAAATCAGTATACTCTGGTTTATTGTTATATATTATATTAATACTTGTATATTACAGTTACATGTATATATAATTTTCATGTATTTGTATATCATTCTATTCTACTATATTAATAATAGTGCAGTGCAAGTGCATGGTGGACACTCTTCTGTAATAATTCGATTTTTCTAATAGAATGGATTTGAGTAGGCATTCGTATTTTCTCGCAAAAAATGTTAAATCATCCATACAGAGTTATCGTTCCTTGAGATTGCAAACGTTCTTGAGATATTCTTCCGCATGCGTGTGCATATATATTAATGATTTTTTACTTATATGTATATACATACAACAAAACATTTTAATATTATTAATTTATCTTCTTTATAAAGTATTTGATGAGTATTCATTGAAGAAATGAATTTATAACAAGCGATAAGGAATGTTAGTTTGCACTTGATGATGTCGACGTATTCATCATGTTTATAGATCGGTTAAAAACCCAAAACGAATGTTACGTAATGGAAATCTAGGCGATAGCAATACACCGGAATGCCCTCACGGTCATCCGCTGTAAAAACCAAAGTTGGTATTGGAAAATTCCGAAAATAAAATAAATTTTTAAGAAAAACAAATTAAACATAATCTTTATCAATATCTACGATTTCTTTCCACAGAGATTTTGGGGACAGATTTAAAAAGATATGATAAAGAAAAATAAATCTTTGTCGTATAGACGATGAGGCTAGTTTATACTGTACTGTTATGTGTTGGACCCATTAATTACAACTGATTGTTATCTGTTATAATATGCTGACACCTTTACACTAAAAGTTGATGTGAAGGTCAAACACTAATCGGTGTCCAGGAACCAAGTCAAAACTGAATTGTTCTACGATGTCTCGATCAACCAATGAAGATAACCCGGAAATGACATTTGACTGTACTATACTTACACTTTAATTATAGATAAAGAGTCGTATTGCAAAGGTTTTGAAAGATGTGGTTTTTATTCAAATTACCCCATGAATATGATAGAATTTAGCTGAAACATATACATTTACATTGATGCTCCAGCGCTTTAATCGTTTATTTGCATGTGATTGCACTTTGCTCAATGTTTGGATAAATTAAATTATCTGACAAATGAAAACTAATGATAAAGATGGGTTGAAAGTAACTGTTGCATGAAAACTTAAAACAGCGTATATTTTAGAATTAAATTGTATATTAAAAACACGGGACAAAATGAGATGAGGTCCTGCTGAGTGTAGGAATAACAACATATTATACACTTTGGAGTGAATGATATGCACTTTTCCTTGAATGATAATCTAATGTTAAAACGCCTTCTTATAGCATTAAACTTTGAAGAACTTTTTTATCTTATTGCGTGAAAACACTCCTTCCTTAATGACAAATTTTGAGAGAGAGAGAGAGAGAGAGAGAGAGAGATGTATTTGCAATCAAGGATAAAAAAATAGTGTTTAAATAAGAAGACTACATTTTTTACATGGATACCGATATTGAACATCGAATAACTCCGCCTGCGTTTACAATAACGTGCGCATTTTTGTAACAAGAATCTTTTTAATATCTTTTCTGTTTCAATTAAGGACTAAAGCATGTTTAAAAAAAAGCCCGATATACATATTCAGATAAGGGAATAGTTTTTTAACATGAAAGAAACATCATGCATATCTCATTACAAGCATTGTCTAAATAGGGATATCTGCGTTATTAATCACATAATGCAAGTGTTGCTGCAAATTTATAACTCCTAAAATGTACATGTGAAAATTTTAAAAGCTTTATCGTAGAACTTCTTATAAAATTACCTTAATGTCAACTCTCTTTAGAACATAAAACTAATAGTGAAACTGATTACTGATCTACTAATATACCCATATATATGTATTTACTATCTGTTGGTTATGTCTAACGAATATTTTCTGAAATAAAGAGTTCTTACGGGTACAACCACGAAAATATTAACAAAAGACCATCATATCCAGCGATAGGGCATCACACATAAAACAGATTTTTAAATGTCTTTTCTCTAACCCTAAGACATCGCCACATTCATGAACCTCATAAATATTCCCTGACCCTTCTTCTTGACGGAAAGTGAAAGTTTGGAATAATATCAGAGTATTACAGGGTAAGAAATAGACAAAACTGTTATAGGTAGAGACAACACAGACAAGAGAATTGAATAGCACAGTATACACTACTGAAATATTAGACAGATACTTACTTTTTGAGTAGCAAGAATGAGCAAATAAAAGCATAAGGTTCGACAATATGAAGCATCTTATTACAATTGTTGTTTTTATTCATATAGAAATAACATAGAAAAACAAAGGATATGGGGTATCCATCCATGACACAAAATCAGTACATGTACAGAAAAAACACACAAAAAGCAAAGGAACAGCGAACAGTGATATTTTTGAAAAATACAAAAATGTAAGAATGAATTCTAAAATTGAGGATGTCATTTATATACAAATCGTCACAACAATAAAATAATTTACAATTTTAATAAATACAATGTACATTTTTATAACAAATTGTAAGTTCATCTTTAATGAGTTATTTATATCAATATATATTTTTGTGTGTTCCATACTGTTTATAAAGCATGTTTCTTTCAGAACATGTCTCCTAAAATTTCATGGGACGCCTAAGGGTTTACACTTACAGAATCACCTCTATCTTGCTAGAAACCTATTACTCTTCAAGATGGAAGATGATGCTCAGTTTATATAATCATAAATGTCCTCCACAATGGTTCCAGACGATAATTTCTTTTTATCTGGAAATCGTGCTTAAAACAAAAGTAGGGGGTCTTGATGGCCGAGTGGACTAAATAGTCAAACTACTTTATCACTAGCCTGTGAGTACTGAGGTTATGAGTGGCACGTGGCAGGCGCGCTCGATTCCAATCCACCAAAGTTCTCTCCGGGCACTCTGGCTTCTTCCTCTAATAAAAATATCGGCTCATACATAGCAATAGTGTTGAAAGTGGCGTTAAAACACCAATCAATCAATAAATCAATCAATGAAATATAAGTTATTTATATTTTGGTGGACTATGCGCCTTGGTAATAATGATATTTGCTTATTTTGAAATAAAAAGACATATATAGGTTAAAGATTAGGATTACATATGTAAGAAATTATAGTCTGATATTTTTTTTGGCAAATTTGCGGAAACTATCTTTTACATCAAACATCCAGTCGTCACCGAATTTAAACAGTTCATACAAAAAAATATTCATGTTTTTGGAAATGTTAATGTCACTGTGACGTTGAAGCTTGGGTCAATTGTTTTTTTTTTTTACATTGTCCAATATAACTGAATGGAAAGAAACTGGCGTTAGAATTAATGTAAATTAAGGCAACAGTTGTTTACCGATGTTAAAATCTGGTAAATCGACCAGGAAGAGACAAATCAAGGTAACAAACAAAAACTGAGGGAATAGTATGAACTCTTAAAGAAGAGGGTGAGTCTTCAGGGTAAGCGTCTCCTACTATGCATTCATCACCAGCCATGAGAGTTCACACTCACTAAAAATGTCACAATTGGGAATAGGACACAATCGGTTAAATTGCATATCAGACGACTTTACTTGTATCTAAAGATCCAATATCAGGAAAACATGTCGCTAGTGAGTTGAGACACCGACACACCGTATCGGTCAACCAATTTGTGATGGTAATTTCGTAAAACTTAAGAGTCGATTTCAATGGTATTTCCTCATGACTCTGTTGGAGCAGTTTTTTTTTGTTAGTAACACGCCTGATAAGGAAGTCCGCATAGTGTGAACATGCACGAGCGCAACGTACTTACTGACATATGTAAACGACATATCATTAGGCAAAGAGTATGTTAATGCTAACAAACGGGAAGTTGACAATTGGAATGGTGAAAACATTTGTCATAGATTGTAATTAGATATGAAACATATCTGAAAGTAAAATTATAGAACTTTGCAAGATGCTTTTTTCTGTCTTTGAGAAGGTTCTGTATAAATTTTGCTTCGTATGACTACTAAAACAAGTCTGCCAGTAGTGGTGCACAATTAGTAACCATTGTAATACCGACTGTCTGCTGAAATATTCTTCAATCAAACTAAAACAATATGTTGTCGATCAAAAATTCCATCATTTTGATGAGTTCATCTTTGGTGTATTTGAAGTAAAATTTTTCATGACCTAAAACAATGAAGATGTATCTATGTTTCGCATATTTGTAGAAAAGCTCTGTTGAATGCGACGATGTAGCCAATCTTTCAATTGAGCATAGGGAATATAAGTGTAAAGTGTACAAAAATCACTGATGACTATTTGTTGACGAAACGCGAGTCTAGCGTGCACAATTTCAATCCTGGTATCTATGAGTTTATTTATTGCAAAATTACAAAGATTGTGATTGTTGGAGTAGATCTTGAGAATTTTAAAGAATCAACATCTGATTGATACCACTGGTTGAACATATCTCTTCT